TCTCAAGACAGCAGTCTTTCTCAAGACCCCGATGGCCTTAGACTAAGGCCATCGGTGTTGGTTTCAGCGAAACCATCGTTCTGCGCTGTTCATGCACTTTCCGTGCAATCTTACTGACAGTTCAGATATTTACTGATAGATTCAGTCAGAGCCGGAAAATTTTAAAGACGGAGGAATGTCCTACCCAGGGATCGAACCGGGGACCTACGTCAAATTCATTGATCGAATCGATAGACGTGGACTAAGTGAGCTCCGCCTTCCGTCACGAAGGCCTAGTTACTATCATCATCGATGACGTTATTATTATCGACTCTAGCATCGACGATGCTGCATCGTCATCACCATCATTATCATCATCATCATCGCTATGATCATAAATACCATTATCATCATCAATGCCGTCATTATTAACGGCTTTGGCATCATGATCATAATCATGATCATCGGCGATGTGACATCGCTATCATCATCAATGCCGTTATTATTATCGGCTTTAGCAGTCATCATCATGATCATGAACATCGCTATCATCATCAATGCCGTTATTATTATCGACTTTAGCAGTCATCATCATGATCATTATCATCAACATCACCACACCCTGGTGGTTACAACTGTGGGGGCATCATCATATGATTCGTCTTGAGTAGCAGAGGAAGAGCGGTTAAGTGATAGCTCATCTAACACCTTATCTATTGTTATGATACCAGTTAATGTCGTCAGAGAGAACGGGGCTAGTAGTAAAAGTAGGTGTTGGTCCAATAGAGCCAGTAGAAACAGTTATGGAGTAAGTGAGAATGTGGTTGACAGTTGAAGTGACAGTGTACGCACTTGAACTCGCACGATCTCTTCCTCACTAAGGTCGTTACTTTCTCCGCGGCGGATGTCCAAGACCGTCCATCGCAGGAAGAAAGCACGACCTGATGATCCCCCACAGGATTTATATCAATTCACTCATCTTAGTTGCATGTGATCAGTCTAGCGTCTATTGAAGCACTTTGGTTTCTACTGCGTGCTTCATTGTGCAAGTTGTGTTCCTCTGTCGTCCAGGATTTCACTCTCGTCGATTCCTTAGCAGGAATCACTACCATAATATAAGACCGGATAGAGTGCGTTTTCTATTTCACGTACCTTAGCTTCAACCTTGTTTGGTCGGCCCTGAGAACCGCCAGTTAGCCTTGAGCAAGACTCTGGACTGGGTTCGAGTCTTCATATCGTGTGTTCGGAAACCAACGATGAGACTAGCACAGGACAAGATTGAAAATGCTCTTTCACTCACCAGCTGCTTTAATTTGACCGCAGACACATTTCATGTTCCTCTGGCATTAACGAGGCTCAGCGCGTTGTGTTCGGCGAGGGTGTGATATTCAACTTGAGGAGGATTTTCTCCCTTTTTATTCCCATCCCTCGTTTGAGGAGTATTGAGTATGGGGAATATACCAGGAGGAATGGGCGGCCCTGGAGGACCAGGTGGCGGCGACAAAAAGAAACAGGACAAGTCTAAAAAGAAGGGACCCGCCCCTCCACCAGCGCACTTTGGCAGGAGAAAGAAGCGCGTTAATAAGGGTAGTTGGAGATATTTTGGGTTGACTCAGGATGCAAGCATATTGCCATGTTCGTCAGGACCACCGGGCATGTCAAAAATACCAACAGTAGTTCCCACTGGCAAATGCAGATTGCGAATGCTCAAACTCGATAGGATAAAGGTGACTTCATTCGTCGCCTTTTAGTCGTGAAATGGCTCGATGGTTTCAGGACTACCTGCTCATGGAGGAAGAGTTCATCAACCGACAGGAGGCTATGAAGGTTGGCGGAGAGGACAGGACTGAGGAGGAGAGGAACAAGGTACTGGTGAAGACCCAGGTTCGAACCCAGCATCTGTTGCAACTTTTCCTCGCAGGTCGACGAGATTCGGGGGAAACCAATCAGTGTTGGTAATCTGGAGGAGCTCATAGATGACAGCCATGCTATTGTGTCTACCTCCAATGGTCCTGAGTAGGACAGTAGTCTTTGTTTTCCATGTTCACTTTCGCCGCCTAGGTTTTATGTAAACATTCTCTCTATCGTCGACCAAGATCAGCTCGAGCCCGGCAGCTCAGTTCTCCTCCATAACAAAGTACGGCCATTGACCTAGGAA